AGAATTGCTGCAACTTTGCCTTTGCTTTGTTGCTGATCGGATATAAGTGTCCTTGAGGTCCTGTAGCTCGTAATGTAGGCTAATGTGTGGGCTGGCTCAGCGAATATATTATCTGGAAAATCTGACCTTAAAATTGAAGGCCTTAGAACTAGACTGTTCATATATGAATAGAATATACCTCAATCCTAAAAAGAATTGGACTGTAGTACATATTTAGAATAAGAAAAACGAATCTTACCTCATAACACAAGTCAAGGAGAGAGACACAGAGAGAGAGAGAGAGAGAAAGAGACAGACAGACAGACAGACAGACAGACAGACACACACACACACATCTTTATTTAATCCTAGTGGTAATATGCGCGCATTTCTTAATTCCGGTGTTTTACCCCGCCCCCGTGCCACCAATCAACACGTCAATTTAGATCAACTAGGAGGCGAGTTTCCAACCCTGTCTGTCAGGGCCAACTCGGACTGAGAGGGATACAGCATCCCAGCAGACAAAACGAGATTGGGATAAAAGAAAATTTTCCCACTCGAGAATCGAACTCAGGTTTCCTGAATCGCTTAACCGCTACACAATAGACACCGGTTGGATTTTTTTTTTTTTTTTTTTTTTTGGAGAATCTGAAAATAACTTTATTTAACACATTTTGTATTTTGTCAGTACATTCAAATATTAACTCCCAAATTGACACAGCGCTGTGATTCAGTCCAGAGGAAGTGGTTAAAAGATCATGGGAACATGTATTCACGGCGAAAAGGGGATTCAAATATTAACGTAAAAGAAGTGAGGGCGATGTAACGCCTCCTGCAAGTTTGATGTAGAGCAGTGTGTTTTTCTACAACATTCGGTAAATAGAGTGCAAATAAATTTGAAACGATCTGTGGAAAAAAGTAAATCAGTACACAGTAAAAACTGTTCGTTGAGGTTCTCCGTGATTCATTTGGGACACGCATTCTGGTTATTCGACCGCTTAAAGACACGCCCTTTTGGAGTTCTGAATTAAAAAGCGTAATTTCGTTATTCATACTATAGTTCAGTTTTGTTTTATTACCTAAAACTAAAAAAAGGCAGGCAACAATATAAATGCTTGGAATTGTTCAAATTCTTGGGCGGGGAGGGGGGGGGGTTGTTTGAGTGTGAATATTCGAAATGAGTTGTAACATGGCATTAAGGAATGTTGTTGGTCAGACATAGGTTTCCGCTACGCCCTTAAGGAGGTAAGGCGTGTGCGCGCTAAATACTCTAGGCTGCACTGGTTAAGGCCTTAAGCAAGAGACCAACTGTTCTCAAAACCACTTTTTGGTGGGAGTAACCATCCCGTTTGTCCATATGATTTGTTTATGTACAGCAACCATCATCGTAACGCGACAACAACAAGGTCCAATAATGCGCCAACCATGACAGACTACAAGAAATAATCCTAAGCATGGCTACCCCTGATCGTTAACAGGTTTCACTGTTTTACTCTTTCCGTGACAGTGCTTTCGATATATGCCAGGTTTTGGGAGTTCCAAATACCTGTTTTAGCTTGCGACCTTTCGACTTTTTAACTAACTCTGGCGTATTTGGGGAGTCCAGCGTTTTTTGGGCTAATTAAATAAAATTTTGCTTTAATCGACAGCAAGATCAATTAGCACGTTACATCCCTAAGTTGACGATAAATGATTATATTAACGCCTTTGAAGATACATACATACTTAGAATACTACGATCAGGGCGTCCTAGAGTTAACAAAATTGGTTTTAAATAACTGAAAATGTTTTGTCGAGACATAATTTACGATCGGTTGAGAAAATATTCCCTATATTTTTCAACTTTGTCTCACATGAACTGTGAGCAATTTTTCCATCAATGAATGAGTGAACACATGTCATCCCTGTGGAATTTTGCATCAAGCGACTGAAGCCAATGTCTGACGTGCCCCACAAGATTTTTGTCATTAATGAATTTTCTACCTGGCTAGATATCGCTACATTCGTACTGACAGGTAGACCCTGCAGGACTGGGGGTGGATGAGGTATAAACCTCCAAAATAATAATATATTATTTCTGCAGCCATTTTTTAATGACCATGGCTGTGGGAGGGGGGTAGAATGTTGTCATCATGGTGAAAGATGACATCCTCAGTCAAACACCTCGGTCTCTATGTAGCTGGTCTTGGCTTTCTGAGGGTTTTGTATTATTTTGTTGCTTTAGAGAACTGTTCGCTTAGACAGATCTAGATCGTCAGAAATTCCCCGAATTTTGAGCCTCCTGTCATTACGAATGAGATATTCAATGCATTAAGAAATTTTGTCCCGTGATGGAAGACAGATAACGACCTTATTTGTTTATTAAGTAATCGTTTTACTGTACTGGCACACAATGTCGGCCTTTAATTTTGCTTAACATGGAGACTTTAGGCACCGACTTTAGATTGTACCTCTGGTGAACCCATGAAATTCTCACCAAAAACACTTTCAAGTTCTACAAGAATTTTACTTTTGCTTTTTTAAACCGATTACTTGAATTTCTTCTTTTGACAGATTTTGTAAAGTGGTTGGCATCTTTGTTGTGATGTGGAAAAATGGTTGCATCATTTTGCATATTTTAACGGTATACCAAAATCAAGAATTCACTTGGGTCCTAAATAAATTTTTTTTACAGATTTCAAAAATACATTTATATTTATCGACATATGGCCATTTTTCTTTTAATTCAGGGACAGCCCTCGTATTATTGTCTACATAAATCAATAATGTCTTTGTTGTAAACTCTTCAATAGAGTACACACGCAATCATCTACCCTATTGATTCACCTGCCATTTTCACAGTAACCCCCCTCCCCTCACCTCTTTCCCTTAAACCCACACCCCAGCCCCCTCCCCTTTGGTTTCTGTAAAGTCTTGACGCGACCACTTTTGTTTTTAGCTTGCTTCATTAATTTAGTCAAACCTGTATCCGCCTTTCTTCTCGTCGTAAGTGTCTTGCTTGCTTACTTTACTTTTCCCGGAAGTCTAGGAAGTTGAGGAGAGGCTCTTAATAATAATGATATATTGTTTTGTTTCCGCTTGACAAAAAATGAGAGCTCGAACAGGGAACATTTTCTGTGTCGCACGTGTTTTTGTTAAGAACTTCTTCCATTATTACCTTCATTCAAATGCGAGTTGATGTTTGAGTTACTGTAATGGGGATACTGAATTGTCCAAAGGGGGGGGGGGGGGTGAACGAGAGGAGAGTTTAAAAAAGCAAGTAGGCCTACAACTCATGCGTCCCGGAAAAGAGCACTCTGGTCCCGGATCTAACCTCGAAAGCAACGGGAACCGAGGGCAGAATGTTGTAAGAGTGCAAACAAAGAACGTGAATATAAGCGGTGAGAAGCGGGGAGGAGCGTCAGTTCTGCTCAACTATTCTCAGCAAGATGTCGGTCCTTTTCCAGGTGTCTTCATTTGTGGTTCTGCTCTGCTGCTTTGCTCCATCCTCTGGACAACCTCCAGGTGAGTCTTTGAGTAACGATGTTGTTTTCGCAACCACCGTTATACTATCGTCGTTGTTATTGTTGTGTTGTTTTTGCTGCTGCTGCTGCTGCTGCTGCTGCTGGTGGTGGTGGTGGTGGTAGTGCTACTGGTGCTGGTGCTGCTCATTGCGAAAACGACTTTGATGACGGTGCTTTTGCTGTTGCTGATTTTATTTTTTATTTTATTATTTTTTTGTGTTATTTACGTTTTGCGACTTTTGCCTCCTCCTTTCCATCCTATTTACTCATCACCGCTAACTTTACCTGTTTATTTGCAATAGCTAACTTTATTAATTTGGTTTCCTTGTAATTGTTTTGTTTGTTTGTTGGTAGTTGGTTTGGGTTTTTTGGGGGGGTTTTTATACCAGCCAACATTTTCTGAAGCAGTTTTTGAGCCGCTCAGCAGTTTGACTCGGCAGACGAGACGGAAGTGGTAATAAAATTCTGGATGTCTTCACAGGCAGCAACTTTTTTTGGGAGGATGTAAAGAAACTCAAGCCGCGCAAAGGGAAATGCTGAAAACGGGGGCAGGCACCTACGTCAAAGAATACAGTCTGGCAGACTAGGAGAAATACCTAATTAGAATTTAGCATACATCTCGTAGTATAGTTTACGCTGTAAGATGGGGAACTGCACCTTTTCTCTCTCTCTCTCTCTCTCTCTCTCTCTCTCTCTCTCTCTCTCTCT